GCTCTTGTTACCCAGGCTGGAGTGCAATGGCACGATCTCGGCTCACCACAACCTCCGCCTCCCGGGTTCAGGCAATTCTCCTGCCCCAGCTTCCTGAGTCGCTGGGATTACAGGCACGCGCCACCATGCCCAGCTAATGTTTTGTATTTTTAGTAGAGACGGGGTTTCACCATGTTGACCAGGATGGTCTCGATCTCTTGACCTCGTGATCCACCCGCCTCGGCCTCCCACAGTGCTGGGATTACAGGCTTGAGCCACCGCGCCCGGCTATTTTTATTGTTACTATTTTTTGAGATGGAGTCTTGCTCTGTCACCCAGGCTGGAGTGCAGTGGCACGATCTCTGCTCACTGCAACTTCTGCCTCCTGGGTTCAAGTGATTCTCCTGCCTCAGCCTCATGAGTAGCTGGGATTACGGGTACACACCACCACACCTAGCTAATTTTATATTTTTAGTAGAGATGGGGTTTCATCATGTTGGTCAGGATGGTCCCAAACTCCTGACCTCATGATCTGCCCGCCTCAGCCTCCCACAGTGTTGGGATTACAGTCATAAGCCACTGCGCCTGGCTTTTTTTATTTATTGCCCAGGCTGGAGTGCAGTGGCATGATCTCGGCTCACTGCAACCTCTGCCTCCTGTGTTCCGCGATTCTTCTGCCTCAGTCTCCCGAGTAGCTGTGATTACAGGCGCCTGGTTAATTCTTTTTTTTTTTTTTTAGTAGAAACAGGGTTTCACCAACTTGGCCAGGCTGGTCTTGAACTCCTGACCTCATGATCCACCTGCCTCGGCCTCCCAAAGTGCTGGTATTACAGGTGTGAACCACCACGCCCGGCCTCATTAGAAAACTTTTTCTTTTTTGAGACAGTCTTGCTCCATCACCAGGCACCAGACTTGAGTGCAGTGGCATGATCTCGGCTCACTGCAACCTCCGCCTCCCTTTAAGCAATTCTCCTGCCTCAGCCTCCAGAGTAGCTGAGACTACAGGTACGTGCCACCACGCCCAGCTAATTTTTGTATTTTTAGTAGAGACGGGGTTTCACCATGTTGGCTAGGATGGTCTCCATTTCTTGACCTCGTGATCCACCTGTCTTCGGCCTCACAAAGTGCTGGGATTACAGGCATGAGCCACCATGCCTGGCCAGGAAACTTTTTAACTTGAATCTTCTCAAAAAAATAAATAAATAAAAAATAAAAAACAAAAAGAAAGAATCTTCTCACACCTAAGTATTAAGGTATCTTTATTGAGACAGACTCCTATTAAGTAGCTTACTCAGGGTCACAGAAATGGGGCTGAATTTAAAACACTTGACTAAAAATACAGCAAGTTTTCTCCATTGTACCTCAAAGCCCAAGTTCAAATACTATTCCTACCAGCTTTGGATCCGTGCTTCTCTGATTCCTAGCCCTGTGATCTTGGGCAAGTTTTAAATTCTCTGTGCCTCAATTTTCTCATCTGTAAAGTGAAGAAAATAGAACCCACTTCATGGCTTTTTTTTTTTTTTTTTTTTGAGACAGAGTCTTGCACTGTCACCCAGGCTGTAGTGCAGGGGCATGATCTCGGCTCACCGCAACCTCGCCTCCCAAGTTCAAGCAATTCTTCTGCCTCAGCCTCACCAGCAGCTGGGACTACAGGTGTATGCCATCATGCCTGGCTAATTTTTGTATTTTTAGTAGAGATAGCGTTTCACCATATTAGCCAGGCTGGTCTCAACCTCCTGACCTCATGTTCTGCCCAACTCGGCCTCCCAACGTGCTGGGATTACAGGTGTGAGCCACCGCACTCGGCCATAGCATTGTTTTGAAGAGTTAATTTATGTAAAACAGAAGGTTGTTGGGCACATAATAGCTCTCTGTGCTAGCCACTGTTACAGTTTTGTGAACTTGAACTATGGGCTTTATCTGTCCTGATTGTGTTTCTCATTCATTCACCAATTATCATTATTATTATTATTTTCAAATAGAGTCTTGCACTGTCGCCCAGACTGGAGTGCCATGGTGTGATCTTGGCTCACTGCAACCTTTGCCTACCGGGTTCCAGCTATTCTCCTGCCTCAGCCCCCCAAGTAGCTGGGATTACAGGAATGCACCACCATGTCCAGATAATGTTTGTATTTTTTTAGTAGAGACCGGATTTCACCATGTTGCCCAGGCTGGTCTCTAACTCCTGACCTCAGGTGATCTGCCCGCCTGGGCCTCCCGAAGTGCTGGGGTTACAGGTGTGAGCCACCGCTCCAGCTCATTCAGCAATTACTTTACCAATGTGGGATGTGCCCAGCATTATTCTAGGCTCTACAGAAATAATCTATTGACAAAACAGGGTCTAACAATGTGCTTCTTGGAGATTGATTGCCTGGGAATGGTTGATTGGGACCAGTTTGCAGTTGCTGTGAGGTGGCTTCCCTTGAGGGAGCACGGCTGAGTGAAGTCAACTTTGATGACCAAGAATGCTCCTCCCAGGGGTGGGGAAACCTCGGCAGGCGGCGGCATGTGAGCACCAGAGGGCAGGGATTTCACCGAAATGAAAGTGGAAGCAAACAGCCTGCGAGCAAAACCATTTCACGTCCTGCTGGGGCTGGGAGAGACCAAAACCCTTCAGAAGGTACAAACAGGAGTTCAGCTGTGGTGGATTCTGCCACTGTGCCCAGCTCTGAAGCCTCAGCTCTTGCCGAACAGACCGGAGACCCATGTCAGCCCCGAGGGATGGCGTAAGTGAGGAGAAGGGAGTTGGGAGGTGGGGAAACAGGAGCGATCCTCTTGGCTAGGAACCCGCAGGTATCTCAGGGCCTGACTGCCAAGCCTCTCCCTGCTCATCTGAGACTGGCTGAACGGCTGGGGAGAAACGCAAGGCCGGGATGACCTCCCCACTATGCAGTTGGTCCCCTAACCTATTGCCTCAGACAGCAGGAGCTCATTAAACCCTGTGTCTGTGTGCACCTCTCTGGAGAGAGGATTGTACTTTCCGTCAGATACACAAAGGGTTCTGTGACCCAAATAAGAATTGTTCTAGGCAGGGCGTGGTGGCTCATGCCTATAATCCTAGCACTTTGGGATGCCTGGGCAACACAGTGAAACCCTGTCTCTACTAAAATACAAAAAATTAGCTGGGCGTGGCGGCATGCTTCTGTAATTCTGGCTACTTGGGAGGCTGAGACAGGAGAATTGCTTGAACCTGGGAGGTGGAGGTTGCAGTGAGCCCAGATTGCACCACGGCACTCCAGCCTGGATGACAGAGTGAGACTCCATCTCAAAAAAAAAAAAGAATTGTTCTAGTAACTAACACATCCTTATCCCCTCCTGAGGTCTCCCGTCTACCAAAATTCTCCTCCTCCTGATAATTCCATCTCATCTTAACCTTGGGCCCTCTCCAGGTTCAGGAATAAGTTTTCCTCCTCTGGGAGCTAAGCTTCCCTCTCCCCTGGTCCACCCTTTCCTGACATAAATGCCCCTTCCTGTGCTAGACTAAGCTCCAGGAGGACTGGTGCCCTGTCTACCCTGCTCATCACTCATCCCCAGTGCCCAGCACAGTGCCTGGCATGTAGACCCTACGTGTTTCCTGGCATGCGGCAGGCATTCAGTGAACACTGTTGAATAAATGAATCTTATCCTCTCTCCACTTTCTTCAGCCTATCCCTCCCTGATACCACACCATCTGTAACAAACACACAGACCCCTCACCTGGAAATGTTTCATTTGCCCTTCAAGTATAATAAGATCCCAGAGCCAGGTGTGGTGGCTCACACCTGTAATCCCAGCAGTTTGGGAGGCCGAGGTGGGCAGATTACCTGAGCTCAGGGTTCAAGACCAGCCTGGGCAACATGGCGAAACCCCATCTCTACAAAAAATACAAACATTAGCCAGGTGTGGTGGTGCACACTTGTAGTCCCAGCTACTTAGGGGGCCGAGGCAGGAGAATAGCTTGTACCCAGGAGGTCAAGGCTGCAGTGAGCCATGTTCACACCGCTGCACACCAGCCTGGGTGACAGCAAGACACCCCCCCTGCTCCCATCTCTAAGACAGAAAAGAAAAAAGGAGCCATCCTGCCTGTTTTCAAATCCTGCTTTATCCCATTGTGTGGTCCAGGGAAATCATTAGCCTTTCTAAAGTTTACAGTTTAAGCTCTATTTCCTCTCACAAGAATACCTACCTGCAAGAATTAACCTAGAGGAATTAGATTGGGTGAGGTGGCTCACACCTATAATCCCAGCCAGCACTTTGGGAGGCCAAGGTGGGTTGGTCACTTGAGGTCAGGAGTTTGAGACCAGCCTGGCCACATGGGGAAACCCCATCTCTACTAAAAATACAAAAATTAGCCAGGCATGGTGGCACACACCTGTAATCCCAGCTACTCGGGAGGCTGAATCGCTTGAACCTGGGAGGCGGAGGTTGCAGTGAGCCAAAATCATGCCATTGCACTCCAGCTTGGGCAACAAGAGCGAAACTCTGTCTCGAAAAAAAAAAAAAAAAAAGAAAAGAAATAAATAACTAAAAATACAAAAACTTTGCTGGTCATGGTGGTGCATGCCTGTAATCCTAACACTTGGGAAACTGAGGCAGGAGAATTGCTTGAACCCGGGAGGTGGAGGTTGCAGTGAGCCGAGATTGTGCCATTTCCCTCCAGCCTGGGCAACAAGAACAAAACTGTGTCTCAAAAAACAGAAAATAAATAAATAAAAATACAAAAAATTAGCTGGGCATGGTGGCAGGCACAACAGGAATAATCCCAGCTACGCAGGAGGCTGAGGCAGGAGAATCACTTGAACCCAGGAGGCGGAGGTTGCAGTGAGCTGAGATCATGCCACTGCACTCCAACCTGGGCAATGAGAGCGAAACTCCGTCTCAAAAAAAAAAAAGGAATTATACTTCAAGAATCAAACTAGATAATCCATAGATTAACACAGTAAAAACTCATTGCACTGTTTAACACCTACTGAGCATTCAATATGTGTTTCTTGGGCCGGGCGCGGTGGCTCAAGCCTGTAATCCCAGCACTTTGGGAGGCCGAGGCGGGTGGATCATGAGGTCAAGAGATCGAGACCATCCTGGTCAGCACGGTGAAACCCCGTCTCTACTAAAAATACAAAAAATTAGCTGGGCGTGGTGGCGCGTGCCTGTAATCCCAGCTACTCAGGAGGCTGAGGCAGGAGAATTGCCTGAACCCGGGAGGCGGAGGTTGCGGTGAGCCGAGATCGCGCCATTGCACTCCAGCCTGGGTAACAAGAGCGAAACTCCGTCCCCAAAAAAAAAAAAAAAAAAAAAAAAATGTGTTTCTTATTGTTAATATTATTGCCAAGCTTTTCAGAACTCCAATTCCCCAAGGACAATCTTTTTTTTTTTTTTTGGAGACAGAGTCTTGCTCTGTTGCCCAGGCTGGAGGGCAGTGGCATGATCTCAGCTCACCACAACCTCTGCCTCCCGGCTTCAAGCGATTCTCCTGCCTCAGCCTCCTGAGTAGCTGGGATTACAGGCGTGTGCCACCACACCCAGCTAATTTTTGTATTTTTAGTAGAGGTGGGGTTTCACCATGTTGGTCAGGCTGGTCTCTAACTCCTGACCTCGTGATGCACCCACCTCGGCCTCCCAAAGTGCTGGGATTTCAGGCATAAGCCACCAAGCCTAGCCCCCAAGGACAATCTTAATTCACCCACACACTCCTACCTCTCTGCTAAAACTGCTGTTTTTTGTGGGGTTTTTTTGCCCAGTTCTCATTCTTCTAGACACAGTGCAATCTTGAACTCCAGTGTTCAAGAGATCCTCCCAACTCAGCCTTCCAAGTAGCTAAGACTATAGGCAGGCACCACCATGACTGACCAATTTGGTTAAAATTTTCTTTGTAGAGATGGTGCTTCAACATGTTGCCCAGGCTGGTCTTAAACTCTTGACCTCAAGTGATCCTCCTGCCTTGGGCTTCCCAAAGTGCTGGGATTACATACATGGCCCTCTTCATGGCCTTTGTATATTTAAAGGAAGGGAGAAATGAAGGAAAGAAGCTGTCCAGAAAATTGTATTTTTCTAAAAAAAAATTCCACAAAATAGCCAGGCACAGTGGATCATGCCTGTAATCCCAGCACTTTGGGAGGCTGGGGCGGGCAGATCACGAAGTCAGGAGTTCAAGACCATCCTGGCCAACAGAGTGAAATCTCATCTCTACTAAAAATACAAAAATTAGCCAAGAAATGGTGGCATGTGCTTGTAGTCCCAACTACTCGGGAAGCTGAGGCAGGAGAATCACTTGAACCCGGGAGGTAGAGGTTGCGGTGAGCAGAGATCCTGCCACTGCACTCTAGCTTGGGCAACAGAGTGAGAATTCATCTCAAAAGCAAAAAAAAAAAAAAAAATGGGCACAGTGGCTCATGCCTGTAATCCCAGCACTTTGGGAAGCCAAGGTGGGTGAATCACAAGATAAGGAGTTTGAGAAAAGCCTAGCCAATATGGTGAAACCCTGTCTCTAGTAAAAATACAAAAATTAGCCAGGTGTGGTGGCATGTGCCTATAGTCCCAGCTACTTGGGAGGCTGAGGCAGCAGAATCACTTGAACCCGGGAGGCAGACGTTGCAGTGAGCCGAGATTGTGCCACTGCACTCCAGCCTGAGCAACAGAGCAAGACTCTGTCTCAAACCAAAAAAAAAAAAAAGATAAAGGAAAAAAAAGGCTGGGCACAGTAACTCATGCCTGTAATCCGGTCACTTTGAAAGGCCGAGCAAAGTGGATGGGAGGCTGAGGCAGGAGAATTGCTTGAACCCAGGAGGCAGAGGTTGCAGTGAGCCGAGATCGTGCCACTGCACTCCAGCCTGGCAACAGAGTGAGACCCTGTCTCAAAAAAAAAAAAAAAAGGCCAAGCATGATGACAGGTGCCTGTAATCCCAGTTACTTGGGAGGCTGAGGCAGGAGAAGCTTGAACCCAGGAGGCGGAGGTTGCAGTGAACCAAGATCACGCCACTGTACTCCAGCCTGAGCAACAGGGAGAGACTCCATCTTAGAAGAGGAAAAAAAAAAAAAAAAAGTTGGCATGATGGCACATGCCTGCTAGCTACTTGGGAGGCTGAGAGAGATGAGAAGATCGATTGATTCTGGGAATTTGAGGCTGCAGTGAGTCATGATCGAGTAACTGTACTCCAGTCTGGGTGACATTGAGACTTTGTCTCAAAAAATGAAACAAAACAAAAACATGGGTAGATTTGCAGAGGGCAAAACTTGGTTGGGTTTTTTTTTTTTTTTTTTTTTTTGAGTTGGAGTTGCTCTTGTTGCCCAGCTGGAGTGCAGTGGCACAGTCTCAGCTCACTGCAACCTCCGCCTCCCGAGTTCAAGCGATTCTCCTGCTTCAGCCTCCAGGGTAGCTGGGACTACAGGCACGTGCCACCATGCCTGGCTAATTTTGTATTTTTTTTTTCTTTTTGATTTTTTCAAGCAACAACATGCAGGGTTTATTTTTCGTAGAGGCGGGGTTTCTTTATGTTAGTCAGGCTGGTCTCAAACTCCCGACCTCAGGTGGTCAGACCGCCTCGGCCTCCCAAAGTGCTGGGATTACAGGCATGAGCCATCATACCCAGCCAGGAGAGATTTACTTTAACAGGGACCTGGTCTCTCCAGTGCATCAGAATCCCCACCACTCTCTGTCTTCCTACATGGCTCTATTAACTCATTGATGTCATCTAACTGACCCTTAAAGGCACTGTGTTGGCACTCTCTGATTTATAGAAATACGAATAACTAAGAGTCTTCCTAAACCAGCATAATTTGGTCAAGCTCTAGTTTTCCTCTGCTAAAAATTGAATAAACTCACACTGAATTTCTTTGGTGCCCTCTGTAACATGCTCCTTTACTGTCATTCATTCACTTTATTTATTCATTTGACACACTTGTACTGGAGACATCTTTTGTGCCAGTGACCTTGCTGGACACTGGGAATACAGAGATGGTCATGACAGAGTCCTGTCTTTCCAAGGACCTCATGCTTCTCTGAGCTGACCTTATTTATCAGGATTCCTAACCACAAGGTGAGCTCTGCTCCATATCACAAACAAAGGTGCATTTATTGGTATCCCTGGTGTCACTTCCCTACCTATGATGTCAGCTCTCTCTGGACCCACTCCATATCACACCCAGCCTAAAGGGTTGCTTGGTGTACAGTGGAAAGTGGGGCAGTCAAGGGACAAACTAGAAGATGAGTAAGCTACCTCCCCACCCTGGGCTTCATGTCTTCACTGTAAAGCACAGGTCAGCAGGGTGGGCTCTGGAGTCAGATAGCCTAGGACCATATGACTTTGGGCAAGTCATTTAACCTCTCTGAGCTTTAATTTCCTCATCTATAAAATAAGGATTGGTTGGGTGTGGTGGCTTACATGTGTAATCCCAGCCCTTTAGGAGACCGAGGTGGGTGGATCATCTGAGGTCAGGAGTCCAAGACCAGCCTGGCCAACATGGTGAAAACCTGCTTCTACTAAAAATACAAAAATTAGCCAGGCATGGTGGTGGGTGCCTGTAATACCAACTACTCGGGAGGCTGAGGCAAGAGATTTGCTTGAACCCAGGAGGTGGAGGCTACAGTGAGCCATGATGATGCCGCTGCACTGCAGCCTGGGAGACAAAGCAAGACTCCATCTCAAAAAAAAAAAAAAAA